GGGTTGGTGGGCCATTAGGGGGCGTGGCCTGGCGGTGTGGGTGGGGCTATGGCGCATTGGAGGCGTGGCCTGAGAATGTAGGTGGGGCTATGTAGACTTTGGGGGCGTGGCCTGAGGGTGTGGGCGGGGCTAGATGAGCAGTATGGGCTGTGGTCTGCCTATGTGGGCGTGGCCTATGGGCTGGGGTGGAGCCTATCGCGTGTTGGGGGCAGGGCTTTGTGACAGACCCCGCCCACAGCTGCAGACCTGGGCCCGCCTGGAGGAGGTGCGTGCTGGCATCGCCCGACTTGAAGCCGAGAAGGAGGAGGTGGCCCTGGCAGTGCACGCCCTGGTGGTGAGCCCCCCCTTTCCTTATGGCACTACATTACTCTGTGCCCCCTCCCCATCCCTCCATCTCACCCATTCTCCCCCCCACAGACCACCCATTCTAAGGACACGCTGCATGCGGTGAGACCCCCGGAAGCGTTGCTCCGGGTCGGATCCCCCCAACCCCATATTGCTGGGGAGGTGATGTGGCCACCACGTGGTCCCCGTGGCCACCGTTCCTGCAGGTCCCCGAATACACAGCGCTGCGGGAACGGGGCCGTGCTGTGAGGCTGCAGCTGAGGGAGCTGCTGGCAGAGGAGGCAGCGTTGGATGAACGCTTCTACCTGCATGCATTGCAGCTGCCCAACAGCACCCACCCGGCAGCGGTGAGCAGGGGAAGGGGGGAGGGGGAGGTGGAGGGGAGGAAGATGCTGCAGACCTCCTGACCTCCTCCCCTTCTCCTCCTGCAGCCCGTTGGTGATGAGAGCCAGGCCCGTGTGCTGGAGGTGGTGGGGGAGAAGCCAGGTAGGGCCGAGCTGGGGATGGGCAGCACAGAGTGGGGGTGGATAATAGGATGGGACGGGGGGTCCCAGAGCGAGAAAGCCTCCCTCTGTCCCTGCAGCATTCGACTTCCAGCCTAAGGGACACCTGGAGCTGGGTGAGGAGCTGGACATCATCCGCCAGCGGTGAGTCCCCCACTCCCCAAACGCAGGGATCACTCACTGCAGTGTCACTTTCATCCTGGTGACAGCTCTGTCCCCCGCAGGAGGCTGTCACACATCTCAGGTCACCGCTCCTATTACCTGTGCGGGGCAGGCGCGCTGTTGCAGCACGCATTGGTTCACTTTGTACTGGCCAAACTGGTGCCCAAGGTATGGAATCGAGTTTAGGGGAACCTTGTGACCCTCCTCACACCTTGTGGGGCTTTGTGATCCCCCCCCCAAGCTCGCCTACATCTCTCATTGCACTGCAGGGCTTCCTGCCCATGACGGTCCCTGACCTGCTGCGTGGCGCTGTCTTTGTAAGTGCCACCCTGTCCCTGCACTGCCCCTGTTGTCCTCCTCACCACCAAGTGACTTCCCTGTGTCCCCCTCCCCCCCAGGAGGGCTGCGGGATGCAGCTCAACACCACCCCATCTCCTGTGTACTGCATTGACCCAGCTCGCTTCGAGGACCTGTGCCTGGCTGGCACCTCCGAGGTGGGGATTGCAGGTGAAAAACAGGGCAAAATTTCCAAAACAGGGGGACAAAATAACGGGAAACAGGACAAAGCTGAGATAAATGATTCAGAACGGGGCAAAATTTGGGTGGGGTGTATCAAGAGGAGGCACAATTAAGGCAGAATGGGTCAAAATGTGTCCAGATCTCTCACTCGTCCCCTCTTTTCTCCTGCAGGTTACTTCATGGACCACGCGGTGCGGCTGCAGGACATGCCTATCAAGTACAGCAACAGCAGACTGTGGGGATGGGATGTAAAGGAGGGGTGGGGGGGTGTTTATGGGGGTCATTTCTGATCATTCCTCCCCCCCCCCCCCAACACAGGATTGTCTGCTCCAGCACTTGTTACCGTGCAGAGACCGACACGGGCCGAGAGCCCTGGGGCCTTTATCGTGTGCACCAGTTCACCAAGGTGGGATGGTGGAGCTGGGGGTTGTACAGGAAGGCAATAAATGGGGGGAGGGGGCTTCGGGAACCACTCTGTACTCACAGGTGGAGATGTTTGGGGTGACGGCAGCAGAAAGCGGGGCTGAGAGCGAGATGATGTTGGATGAATTCCTCATGTTGCAGAAGGAGATTTTCTCAGAGCTGGGGTTGCACTACCGGTCAGTTGGGGTGGAGAGGGGCTCAGTTTGGGTCCTTTCCCTCAAATCGATGTCCCAATGGTTCCCCCACACCCTGCAGTGTTCTGGACATGCCAACACAGGAGCTGGGACTCCCTGCCTACCGCAAGTTTGACATCGAAGCCTGGATGCCAGGACGGGGCAAATATGGGGAGGTGAGAGCAGCCAGGAGGGGGCTGCACCCCCCTTTCCCCTTCCATTATGGGGTTTGCTGAGACCTGGTGGACCCCATAGCTGGGGGGGAGGGTTTCTATGGTACCTTTCCACCCCCAAGATCTCTAGCACCTCCAACTGCACCGATTACCAAAGCCGGAGGCTGAATATCATGTACAGTGATGGGGCTGGGAAGCTGCACCACGCACACACGGTGGGTGCTGAGCCCTCTGCACCCTGGGGGAGGGGTTGGGGGGGGAAGGGGGGGCACCATGAGATCATTTACTCCTCTACCCTCCCCTTACCATTCTTTTCCCAGGTGAATGGCACAGCCTGTGCCGTCCCCCGGCTGCTCATCGCTCTTCTGGAGTGCAACCAACAGGCGGTGTGTGGAAGGGGCTTTACTGCATTTAGATTTGAGAGGGGGGGGGGGGGGGGGGGGGAAGGGGAAGCACAAGGGACTGACGCTTCCCACCCTTTCTCCCTTCCCCTCTACCTTCCACCAGGATGGCAGCGTCTGCATCCCCCCCGCCCTGCAGCCTTTTGTTGGTCAGGATGTGATCAAGCGACCCCCAGCCCCACTGCTGCGTTACATCGGCCCCAACCAACCTGGGGGGGGGCCAAAGGGGGTCACGTGTTCCCTCCTAAATTCTCGTGAGACCCTGAAATAAATAACACTTCTATCTCTATTTTTGAGATCTACGTCTGTGTGTTGTCCCCCCTCACCACGTTCCCGTAGCAAATTGCCTTTCCAGGCAGCAATCTGACAGCAGGGGTTTTATGGGAGCCACATTTGGGGTGGGGGCAAATTGAAGGAGGGGGGTTGGTTTTGGGGGGGGGGGGGGGGGTAAACTGCCCCCCTTTTTATTTTAAAACAACTTATATAAATCCTCTACGCTATACCCAGGGAAAAGAAGAAGAAGGGGGGGCACAGGGAGCCTCCCAAAGTCCAGCCCATGCCTTCAGGGGACCCCGATAAATAAGGGGGGGTGGCTGCAGGTCCAGGGGCGTCCCCTCAGTCCGCACAGCGACCGCTGTTGATGACAATGTCATCATATTCCTCCTGGGGGGGGGAACAAAAGGGGGGAAAAAACAGTGCTCAGACCATGAGAAGCCTCTCGGTTTTTAGGTGAGGGTTTGGTTTGGGGGTTACTTACACCACTGCTGTTGTCTTCCTCGCTGTCTTCATCCTCCTCACTGTCCTCAGAATCACCGGAGCTGTCAGGGGCACCGAAAGCACGGAGCAGCTGGGGCAGGCGGGGGTCTGGGCGATGTCGGGCACTGTAGAGGGGGGTGCGACCCCCATAACCACGTGCTGCTGGGTCAGCACCCGCCCGCAGCAGCAGCTCTGCCATCTCCAGGCTCTGTGCTTCCACCGCCAGGTGCAGGGGGCTACGGCCACAGCTCGGCTCCTGGGGGTGCAAGAAGGGGTAGGAAATGAGGGTGGGGGGCACAGGAATGGCAGCGTCCCTTTAGACAAACCCCCCACCCCCTCAATTCTGTGCTCACTGCTTTGTTGGAGTCGGCCCCGGCACGCAACAGCAGCTGAACCAATTCCACGTCCTTCCGAAGAATGGCAACGTGCAAAGGGGTGTAACCTGGAGAAGGGGACATCGCAGTGCCACCACCACGTCCCAAACCCCACTGTTTTCCCACAACACAGCCCTGCTGAACCCCATTACATCCTGCATTCCCCAAGCTCGTCTTGATAGATGAAAAACTTCACGTGAGCCAGCAGTGTGGCCTTGTGGCTAAGAAGGCAAACGGGATCCTGGGCTCCATCAAAAGAGGGGTGGCCAGCAGGGACAGGGAGGGGATTGTTCCCCTCTACTCTGCTCTTGTGAGGCCCCAGCTGGAATATTGCATCAAAGTGTGGAGCCCCCAGTACAAGAAAGACAGGGAGCTGTTGGAGAGGGTCCAGAGGAGAGCCACAAAGATGAGCAGGGGGCTGCAGTACCTCTGCTATGAGGACAGGCTGAGGGAGCTGGGCTTGTTCAGCATGGAGAAAAGAAGGCTGCGGGGTGAATCATTGCAGCCTTCAGGACCTAAAGGGAGCCTACAGACAGGAGGGGAGTCAGCTCTTGGAAAGGGGAGATAACAGCAGGATGAGGGGAAATGGTTTGAAGTTGAGGGAGGGGAGATTGAGGTTGGACGTCAGGGGGAAATTCTTTACAGAGAGAGTGGTGAGGTGCTGGAACAGCTGCCCAGAGAGGCAGTGGATGCCCCATCCCTGGAAGTATTCAAGGCCAGATTGGATGGGGACGTGGGCAGCCTGGTCTAGCATTAAATGAGAAGGTTGGTGGCCCTGCATGTGGGTTGGAGATTCATGATCCTTGAGCTCCCTACCAACGCTGGCCATTCTGTGATTCTGTGATGACACCTCAGCATCTTCACATCACGTCCCCACGCTTCACACCCCAAATGCTGAGACCCCACATCCCTGTTATAACCTCAGTGCTCCCTGTGCTGTGTACCCTCACACTGCATCCCCAACATCCCCAGAGCACGTCCCCATTCTTCAGCTCCCCCTCCACCAGTCCTTCAATCATTTCTAAGCACCCCCTTCCAAGCTACGCTCCCCTGCTGTATGCTTAATATCCCTCCAACATCCCCACGAATAAAACCCTGCTGTGCTCCCAAAAGCCTCAGACCCACACTTCTCCCTTTGGATCCCCCCCCAACTTACCATCATAGTTGACACTCTCCAGCTGTGCACGCTCCTCCTCGCTCAGGGGGCAGCGGAGACCCCCTAGGAGATGCTGGGCACATTGGGGCTGCCCCTCCCTACATGCCAAGTGCAGGGCTGTGTGACCCCCACGTTCCTGCAGCCCCAACCCCGCGCCCGCCGCCCGCAGCTTGCGCACAAAGCCGGGCAGCCCCAAGATGACAGCCAGGTGCAGGGCAGTCTGAAAGAAAGAGGAAATCAGTCAGGTTGGAAACGACCCCACGGATCACCCCCTGGCTCTGGTGGTTGGCCCTCAGCTCAGGAATTGCCTGGTCTGGCAGTTGGCCGCCCTGCGTATAGCGGGGGGGGGGGGTTGAAACACGATGATGGTCGTGGTGTTTTTCAAGCCATTGGCCATTCTATGATTCTATGGATATTAGGCCAAAATTCTTCTCCAAAAGAGTGGTCAAATATTGGAACAGATTGCTCAGGGAGGTGGTGGGCTCGCTGTTCTTAGAAGCCTTCAAGAAAAGAGCACATATAGCAATGAGGGCCACGGTTAGTGAGCACCATGGGGGTAAGTTGATGGTTGGACTAAACGATCCCAGTGGTCTTTCCAACCTCAATGATTCTATGAATCAGCCCCAGCAGTTGCTCCTGGCTCAGGGTTCGCCTCCCCTGTCCCACTGAGTGCCACCAACCCCCCCCTGTGCCACTGAGTGCCCTTGGATTGAGGCCCCAGCCATCACCCCCAGCTCACGGGGCGCCCACGAAAAGGAGGCTCAGGGGAGACTTTATGGGGAGACCTGAAAGGAGGTTGCAGTGAGTTGGGGGTTGGTCTCTTCTTCCACGTCACAGTGATAGGACTGGAGAGAATGGCTTCAAAGGGAGATTTAGGTTGGACGTTAGGAAATATTATTTATCTGAAAGAGTGGTCAGGCATTGGAACGGGCTGCACAGGGAGGTGTGGAGTCACCGACCATGGAGGCGTTCAGGGAACGTTTGGATTTTATGTTGAGGGACGTGGATTAGTGAGAACTATTGGTGATGGGTGGACGGTTGGACTGGGTCATCTCAGAGATCTTTTCCAACCTTGGTGATTCTGTGATTCCTTTGCCTGCCCCCAAACAAGGGGTCACCCCCCCACCAACCAACCGCTGCACCCAGCTCAGGGATCAGCCCCCGCCCAGGGGTCACCCCCGTGTTTCCCTCTAACTGCTCCATGCCCCCGCGGCCGCCCTCACCTGCCCGAGGTCGTTCTGCAGATCCATGTAAGCAGTGCCTGCGGCGCGCTGCAGGATGGAATCCAGGAAAGCCTCGTGCTCGTGGATGACCGCGAGGTGCAGCGCTCTGTGTTGGGGGGGGAGGAGAGAGAGGAAGGGGGGGGGGAGGGGGGTTCGGCCTCAGCTCAGCGACCCCAATCGCCGCCCCCCTCCCCCCGCTGCTCCTTCACTCACGTGTCGCCGTCCTCGCTGACGAAGCTCAGCACGTGCCGCAGCCACACCTCAGCCTCGGCTTCGGGGCCCTCCGGAGGAACGTCCTCGGGAGACTCCGGACCCGGACCGGGACTGTGGGACAACGGTACCAATTGCCCTTCTCCCAACGAGCCCAACCCGCTGTCGTACCACTCGTCACCTTCCGTTCGCTTCGCATCGCCGGACGACGCGGCCCCCGCGGCCGCCATCAGCCGGGCCGCGCTCAGGGCCCCGCCACCACGGGCCCAGCGCCGCCGGGCCGGGAAATCCCCGCGGCCCGGGATGGGGGGGGGGAAGCAGCGCAAGGCCCGCCGGGACGCGTAGTCCGGAGAGCACTTCCGGGAGAGAGCAAGGGACGATGGGAGTTGTGAGCGCTTTCAGCCAATCAGCGCTGCCCGCGCGAGGTATGCTGGGAAGTGTGGAAATCAATAGCTGTAGCGAAGAGCATGCCGGGAAGTGCGGCGGACTCAGCCAGTCAGCGGAGTTCACGCGGGGCATATCGGGAAGTGTGGCAATTTTAGCGAATCAGAGCCGCCCGCGCGATGCATCCCGGGAAGCGCGGCGCTTTCAGTCAATCAGAGAAACCGGCGCTATGCATCGCGGGAAGCGCAGCCGTCTCAGCCAATCAAAGCCGTCCGCGCGAGGCATCCCGGGAAGCGTGGCGCCTTCAGCCAATCAACACCACCCATACCAGGCATACCCGGAAGTTTGGAGTCTTCAACCAATCAGCGTAGACGGCCCACGGCATGCCGGGAAGCGCCTCCAGGAGCCCCCATGTCCGGAGCGGACGGTAATGGCGGAGGCGGTGGCGGTGCTGAGGCTGGAGGGTCCCTCCGGCCCTCCGTGACGCCCCGTCCCATCCCCGCAGCTCCCCCTTCCGGGGCCGATCCCGACGCTGAAGCTGAGGGCGGCTCCACGGAGGACTCCGATAGTGAGTGCGGGGCGCGGGGCCGGGCCGGGCCTGCGGGAGACCCGGTTGTTGACTCCTCCCGGTACCGTTCGCAGTGGAGTTGCTGCGAAACCTCCTGGCACGGACGCTGGGGTTGGGCTCGGAGCCGCCGGAACGCGTTTTGGATGAGTTGTCGCTGACGGGAATCGCCCGGTTTATGCAAAGCGAGCGCTGCCGTCGTGTGGTGTGCATGGTGGGCGCCGGGATCTCCACGGGTGAGCAGAACCGGGGGGTGGGGGGAAAGCGGAGGAGTGGCAGCGTTTATGTAACCCCCCCCCCCCCCCCCCCCCCGGCAGCCGCCGGGATCCCCGACTTCCGTTCACCTGAAACCGGGCTGTACGCCAACCTGGGCCGCTACGATCTGCCCTACCCTGAGGCCATCTTTGACATCTCCTACTTCAAGGTATGGGGGAACGTGAGGCTGAGCCCCCCGACCCACCCAGCACAGCAGTGGGCCTTGAGCCCCCCACCCAAGCACAGCAGTGGGCCTTGAGCCCCCCCCCCCCAGCGCAGCAGTGGGCCCTGAACCCCCCACCAGACCCTGACCCCCCCTCCACTTTTTCTCCAGCAACACCCAGAGCCTTTCTTTGCATTGGCTAAGGAGCTGCTCCCAGGACAGCTGAAGGTAAGAGGTGATTCCTGGGGGAGTTGGGGGGGGGACAAACACCATATACCCCCCCTCCTTGTGCTTCCTCTAAACCCATCGCTCTCTCCCCAGCCCACAGTTTGCCACTACTTCATGCGGCTGTTGAAGGAGAAGGGGCTGCTGCTGCGCTGCTACACACAGGTGTGGGCCCCCCCCCCCTCCCCCTGCTGTACCCCCCTTTCCCAGAATTGAGAACATCCTTAAATGCTGTCCTTATAAATTTCCCTCTCCTACAGAATATCGACACTCTGGAACGCGTGGCAGGGCTGCAGCCTGAGGAATTGGTGGAGGCTCATGGCACCTTTCAAACTGCACACTGCCTGCGTTCCTCCTGCCGGCATCAGTATGACCTGAGTTGGGTGAAAGGTAATGACAAGAGGGGGGGGAAATTGGGGACAAGGGGGGGGATTGAGGAGGGGAGGGATGGGGGAGGATGCCCTGTGTGCGCCTCCCACCACCCCACTGTGCTGAGCTGTGATGCCTTTATTTGTTACAGAGAAAATCTTCTCATCCCTCGTCCCCAAGTGTGATAAATGTCAGAGCGTGGTGAAGCCAGGTGAGGTGAGGAGGTGGTTCTGTGCCCCTCCCATATTGGGGGTGATAAGGGAGGAGGGGGGGTCAGTGCATCCACCCCCCCCCAATCCCCTCCTGCCATGATTTTCACCTGTTTCCTCCAGACATTGTATTTTTTGGTGAGAACCTCCCATCTCGCTTCTTCAGCCTGCTGCAGTCGGTGAGTATTTGTGGGGGGGCACGATGAAGATGGGGGCTCACAGGGGGCCGGGGGGGGGGCACAGTTATCTGCTTGCAACCCCTTCTTTCCCTACAGGACTTCCAGAAAGTCGATCTTCTCATCATCATGGGCACTTCGCTTCAGGTCCAACCTTTCGCCTCCCTTGTTAGCAGGTCACGGCCCCCCACCCCAAAATGTGCCACGCTCCCCCCCCCCACCACGTCCCCCCCCGCCTTTCCCTCCATTCATCTCATCCTTCCTGCAGCGTGTCAGCTCCTCTGTGTCTTCAGTTCTCTCATTGTTCCCTTTTTGTCTTTCAGGGTCCCTGCCAGCACCCCCCGGCTCCTCATCAACAAGGAGAAAACGGGGCAGGTGGGGGGGTGCATATAGGGTTGCTGGATGAAGAAAGGGGGGCAATTGTCCCCCCCCCCTAACCTCCCCCACCTCATCACCTCCTCATTGTCCCCAGAGTGATGCCTTCATGTCCCTCATGGGCTTTGGCTGCGGGATGGACTTCGACTCAGACAAAGCCTACAGGCAGGGACTGGGGGTGTGGGGGGGTCTGGGGGGGGGACATTG